ATCATAAGTTGTATTAGATAATTATCAAGGCTGTTAGTTAGTTACTAAATGGTTAGTCTGTTCACTCTTAGGTATTATTTATACGGCTGATGTACATATCAATTAAAAGTTAAGAATGAGTAAAATTCAGTTCATTCCATTTCTTCCTTCTTGCTTTAATATGGTATCAGAGCGAGTATAATTCCGCATAATCATTCTTCATCCATCTATTCAACCCATTATTGAATTTGGCATTCTGAAAATCAGATGGAATCTCAGCAATCAGAAGGCTCAACAACAACAGTGAATAAAATTGTTGATTATTGAAGACTTTTGATTTTCTCCATATGATGAAATATGAAGAGTGTTAGAGAGGAAGATGAAGAGTGTTGGAGAGGAAGATGAAGAGATGGATGCATTCACCATCATTATTAGTCATTATTATTCTTCTTAATTGTGTGACTCTTAGTAGTCTTATGCTATCCTATAAATAGGTTTGTCATGTACTCAAATCAAATAATTTTTATATATATAAAAAAAAAAAAAGTTTCTCTCAAAATATACTTTGTTCTGTTCTTATTACTGAACTGATCCGGTCTTGATAGGATCTATCCTTATCTCCGCTGCATACTAAAATCACAATCAGAACAAACATTTGGTATCAGAGCACTCCTGATCTTAAAGGCCTGTGAGAAAGAGGAAAAATGGCAAATTCTACTCTAGCTTTAATGCCTATCCCCATGATGTTTGGAGGCGAAAACTATGAGTATTGGTCTGTCAGAATGAGGGCTTTCTTGATGGCACATGATCTATGGGAGATTGTTGAAGAAGGTTATATTCCACAGGAGTTGGATGCAGACCCTACTGTGAATCAAATGAGGCAAGCGAAGGATCGTAGAATAAAAAATATGAAGGCTCTTACCTTCTTGCACTCTTCTGTCACTGAGACAATTTTTCCCAAGATTGTGGCTGTTACAACAGTAAAAGAGGCTTGGGATAAATTACAAGAAGAGTACAAAGGGTCTGAGCAAGTGAGAGCAGTAAGATTGCAAACTTTGAGCAGAGAGTTTGAAAATCTAAGGATGAAGGATGCTGAATCCGTAAAGGACTACTCTTCTAGAGTGGCTAATGTGGTGAATCAGCTTAAATTGAATGGAGAGGACGTACCAGATAAAAGAGTGGTGCAAAAAATGTTGATTACCTTACCCGAAAAGTTCGATGCTGTTACCACGGCTATAGAGCATACAAAGGATCTGTCAAGTCTTTCTTTAACTGAACTTACAGGTGCTTTGTTAGCCTATGAGCAAAGGTTAACGTCAAGATCTGAGGTAACTATTGAAGGAGCTCTTGCGGTAAAGTTTAAACCGCAAAGTTCAAGTGAAGGTGGAGGAAAACAACACCAAGAACGGAAGAAGAAAGGCAAAGGAGACTCATTTTCTCCTTGTATTCATTGTGGAAAAACCAACCATCTTGAGAAGAAGTGTTGGAAGACAAAGCAATGCAAATTTTGCAAGCAAGTGGGCCATATTGAAAAGTTTTGTAGAGCCAAAAAGCAGAATCTAAATCAGCCACAATATCAACAAAGAAATCAAAATCAGCAAGCAGCATTTGCACATGAAAGGAATGGTGAAAACCATTTGTTTGTAGCTGTTCATGGAGCTGAATTGAGTAGCAAGGAAACATGGTTTGTAGACAGTGGTTGCACCAATCATATGACCAATATGGAGCAGATTTTTCGCAATTTAGACACAAATGTGAAGGCCACGGTGAAAATTGGAAGGGGAGGAGTCCTACCAGCCAAAGGTAAGGGTACCATTGCTATCCAAACAAAGAAAGGTACAAGATATATTGATGAAGTACTTTTAGTGCCTGGCTTGGATTCAAATTTACTAAGTGTGGGTCAAATGCTTGAAAAGAAATATGCTGTGCATTTTCGAGATATGAAATGCAAAATCTATGATCCTCATGATGTTGAAATTGCTAGTTTGCCTATGCATAATAGAAGTTTTAGCATTCAATGGCATAGCTTACTTGCAAATATGTCTAGAGTTGATGTGGATGAATCTGATTTGTGGCATAGAAGATATGGTCATTATAATTACAAGTCTTTGTCATATGTGCATTCTCATGGCATGGTAAGAGATTTGCCTAAAATTCATGAATCTGGAGGAGTATGTGAGAGCTGTAGTTTGGGGAAAATGCATAGAGAGTCATTTTCTAATGATGGTGCATGGAGGGCATCTGGAAAATTGCAGCTTGTGCATACTGATATTTGTGGTCCCATGAAAACTCCATCCTTGAGTCATAATTTGTATTTTGTGCTATTCATTGATGACTTTACAAGAATGTGTTGGGTGTACTTCATGAGAAACAAGTCAGATGTGTTCAATGTGTTCAAAAAATTCAAGAATATGGTAGAGGCACAATCTGGATGTAAAATTCAGACCTTGAGATCGGATAATGGCAAGGAGTATACATCTACCAACTTCAATCAATTCTATGAGGATTATGGAATTCATCGGCAGCTTACCATTCCCTACACTCCGCAACAAAATGGAGTGGCAGAAAGGAAAAATAGATATGTCATGGAGATGGCCAGATGTATGCCAGCTGAGAAGGGATTTCCAAATTCGTTTTGGGCAGAAGCAGTTTATACCTCCGTTTATTTGCAAAATAGGTTGTCTACAAAAGCTGTGAAAAATATGACACCTATTGAGGCATGGTGTGGAATGAAACCTACAGCCAAGCATCTGAAAGTTTTTGGGTCTTTGTGCTATGTTCATGTCCCAGATCAGAAAAGAAGCAAGTTGGAGCAAAAGGCTGTGAAGGGGATCTTTATTAGCTATAGTTCACAGACAAAGGGCTATAAAATCTATCTTCCAGAAACTGGAAAAGTTGTGATATCCCGTGATGTAAAATTTGATGAAAGTTCTAAGT